AATAACACTAATAATAAATTATTCGATAATAAATAATTTGTCCACGCATACAAATTTGTATGGTAAAACGTCAAAATTCAAGTTAAATTAGGAGATTAATTGCGAAAATGAGGCGTAGATAAATTTTTTAGAGACTAGGAGAACGTTATATACGTAGGATTATAATATAAAGGATAGGAGACCGGATAGTGTGTAAATGGTAAGTAAATGGAAAGAATCATTCGTCGAGGAATGGTCAGATTGCCATCCAGGAAGAAAGAGAGAGACGGCGAATTTTCCTAGATTTAATTAATATTTCATTTGCATGCTATTTCTCGCCTTGCGCAGCTTGGTGTCGCAGCGCGCCGCATCCTTGCCGTGATCCTCGCCGGCGCGTCGCATCGCCACGGAAAACTAACACTTGGACGCGAAGAGAATACAGCTGCTACGTTCTCTATCTAGCTAGGTGCACTTCCACGCTCACGTGCACGTACGTATACGGTACACTCACATAGCACATATATAACGAACGTTTATAACAGCGCCGAGCGGAGAACGCGGGGTGGCGCGAGCTCGCGAAGCAGCGTGGTGCTCTCTCTGTATTTCAATTTAGCACGTCTATTGTTAGATACTAATATTATTCAGTTCGGAATTGTTTCGCGACGTCCCTCAGAGGATGGAAGGGGGCCTTGATTTCTACCGGGGGCGGCGCAATCCCCCCCCCCTCCACCCCCAGACTCTATTACTTCGCGTTCTCTCTATTCTCCCGACTGCAGATTCTCTCGTACAACAACGCCGAATAACAAACAGTCGAGAAACGAGATAGACATTGTCATTATCACGCGATAAAGGCGGAAACAAAATAAAAATGTAAAAAAATATATATAATGAATACTTAAGTTGGATGAAGCTAATAATAGAAGAAAAATCGTAATACAAAGCAATGAAATTTTTCATTGTACACATCTATTGCTCTGAGATTGTCGCAAGGGTACACTTACATATTCTTTCTTAGAGTCACCAAGTAATTAGGGTATTAACCGACAGAAAGACATTTCTATTTCCGTTACCGGTATGTGTCATCCTTCGTTTACATTAAATCATACGTATGCACACATAGATTGATGGTACCTGCACCGAACGTTTCTTGGGGCGAGCAAACACGGCGCCATGTTTGCCGACGTTCGGCAACACTTTATTCTCTCTTCCGCGCGCGACCCGAAAAAGATCTCTCTTCGATTGGCTTCCATGCACTCGTACGTATGTATATTTAAGCGGGCCAATGTGTAGCCACAAGACATGTGGGATGAGTGCGCGTGTGCATCCACATAAGGTAAAAGAACTTTTCTCTCTCTCTCTCTCTCTCTCTCTCTCTCTCTCTCTCTCTCTCTCTCGGGTCCTATACGAGTATAAAAAGAAAACGGAGAAATAGCGAGCGAGAGAGCAAATATTGATGGAAGTTGAAAAAAATGTTAAAAGCCATCCGATTCGTTATTCGGTTAGCTATATTCATCGGACAATAAAAAAAGTAAAAAAAAAAAAGGGAAAAGAAAAAGTAGTCGTGGAAGTAAAAATTCTCATTGGAATTATGTAACGTCGTCGTCGTCATCGTCGTCCTCGTTGCCGTCGTAGTATCTTGAGTCGTTTCTTAACACGACTCTCTGTTAAATTTAAAATTATACTTTTGGATGGAGGTAAGATACAGCATCTCAATGTCACAATCATGTGATTAAAAATTGACGAGACATTGTTAATTATCCGATGTAAGCGTTCTTAAATTATAAACACGGGAGCTGCTCAGCTCGCGTGCGCATCCAGCATTACATTTCTCTCTGTAACATTTGAGAAATAGATTTTTCCACGTTTATTATTATTATAGTACACTACACACAATACACATGTATAGCGCAGTCCAATTCTATTTTATTTCGTGAAAGAACAAGAAAATTCGATAAATCACATGTCCAAGTATATAAAATAACAACTTTGTGTCACGTTATATACCTATCTGTAATGTGTTAGTCTGCTATATAAAGTAAGAAAAGCTGACTTTTTCTACACTAGTAACATTAAAGTAATCGTGATTGATTATTTAATCTGACCTCACGTACAGAGGCCTCGAGAATTTTCTTCGAGAGTTGAAGAAATTATAAATTGAGAAAAATTAAATAACTCAAAGCCGATCGACATTGACACGAACAATTCCGACACCTCCATCTTCTGCTCTCTAAAGAATCTTAAATTACTTTGCTTCTATCATCCAGTGCTCCCCCTTTCCGTAACAATCGGATCGGTTTCCAGTTCTAACAACCCCTTTCCCCGCTCGGTGGCTTAAAATTCCTCGGTGCGGACGCGAGACACGAAGAAGAAAGGGGATTGTTGCACTCTCAGACTGCGGATTAAACTCGGTCGCGGCGGAGGTAGGTATAAAGTAAAGGTAAAGAGGGAGGTGAGAGGGGAGGAGGGGTGCTATTATACGCCATTATGGATGGTAACCAGTAGCCAAAGGAAGAAACACTGCGGGGTGTCGATATATTGCCTCCCCTGGAAAACCAGGCGGCCATGCCTCGTATCGTATCGTATCGTAAATAATAACCGGAGCATTATAATACCCGTGTGCACCGCGCGCGCACACGCGGTCACAAATTGCCGGGTATATATAACGTCGGGCGCGTGTTCAGGCATCGACCTATCGGATATGCGCCTTGTAGAGGCCAGTCGATTATCGGTATTCCATCGATACCGTGTACCTAAGTCTGTCGGCTCGGTACACTACCCCACCGCACCGACGCGATGTAATTGTCCAAGTATCTCTATATATACGACACAAGGATCGTGACTTCCTCTATCGTCGAAACATCAACATTCAATGAGCTATTGTATATTAATTATAACAAATTAATAAAATAAAGGCGCCTGTGTTTATCACGTATTTTACAATCGAATTTATTTCACATTTCGAATCGAAACAAATCACCTCGTCTATTTTATTTATGTCGTCTAAACGTAACTACATAACGCGCATAATTTAAGATTAAAATATGAAATCATTCAAAAATTCCGCGTCGAAATGCGTTGTTGTACAACGTGAAGACTCCTTTTACAAAGGAGACGTGAGGAGCGGTGAGCGTATACAAGACGTGGGAAAAAAATTGTATAATTTACTCTCTACAATTCTATATCTGCGTAAATTGAGCGGCAGAATTGAATATGCGCATTGATGAAAATCAATTTATTGAAAAAGGGCAGCGATGATTTGAGATTGATCGACCATGAAACGATTTCAGGAATACAACAGCGGCGTCGCGTATCCCATTTCTTCGCCTGCGAATACTGTTCGTCATTCGATACCTTTACCTTTGGTTTGTCCAAGGAGGCAGTAAAATTTTCATTCAGCCGGAAAACAGTCTTCCGTAAAATCAGTCATCCTTCTTTATCTCAAGCGTATCTGCAGAAGGACGTGTCTCTCGTTTCTCTTTGTCACGACAAATTACGTTTACTGTGTAGGTATATATAATTACAATAATAAGGCTTACCCGTTGCAGGTAGACTTGCGGAAAATCGCGACATCTTGATCGTAGCGCGAGTATGAAACTCGTAAAAAGAAATGTTATTAAGAATCACAATTTGTTTAAATCAATCGAAAATAATCAAGTATTTATAAATTATTCTCTCTCTCTCTCTCTCTCTCTCTCTCTCTCTCTCTCTCTCTCTCTCTCTCTCATGGTATTACGCAAGAAATAAGATTGCCGAAAAATTCAACATTAAGTATTGATGTTAGGAAATAAAAACTAACTAGCATCTTTTAGTAAAAGATCTTTCGATATGTATTTAATCATTTATTTATTAAATAAATAATTAAATTTATTTGCGAAATCAAAAATTATCTTTATAAACGATTAATTTAACAGAGGAAGTTATTAAGTGAATTGACATATGTATAGAGTATCAATATCTTATTTATTGTATTATATATTTGCGGTCTATACACTTTTCTTCGAGTAACATATTATTTGGTAACTACGATAGATGATAGTTTCTGGTCGCTAGCGGCCAACCTAAGTATTTTGCAGGCGTTATACTTACAGGCAACATACACACATACATACACACACATGTGTATATATATATATGTATAAATATATATATATATATATATATATTACATATGTACGCGCGTATAACACGTTCAATATATTCCGGCAAAAATGTCGAGATTAATTAGTCATTAGCTATACTCGTATAACGTTATATTTACAGATTCACCTTCCTCTTTATTTGGCTGATACTCGTTCTTGTACTTGTTACCTACACACATATCTGGGTCTATATAGTCTTTATCTACACATGTATAAAGTATAATTTGGAGACGAATCAGCAGTGCACTCATCTTCTGACGTTTCTCTTTTCGTACTTTTTTTACGGCGCATTAATTGCGTCACGCAGCGATTTAGAGTCGGCGGATGATTAACGCAAACATCCGATTAAGCGTTTGTCCCAGCTTTCGCGCGAAATGTATTGTACAAGGGTATAAATATTAAAATCAAATACTTTCCGATTATCAAATATTCTCAATCTTCAATATTTTAGCATTTCTCGAAACGCTCTTGGTATCTTCCTTTGGAGACAACAATTTTTATTCTTTTATTGTCTAGTGAAACAGAGCTTCGTCGCGATATTATTAGGTGTCTCGACGTATTGCCCGCAGATGTCGCGATAACAAATAGATTCGATTCTTTGATAGAATCTCTTCTTAGGACGACATTTTTATCAGTTATTCTTAGAGTGATAGTTTCCTTTTCAAAAGAGAAAACTTTTTCACGTCATACTTTGTTAATCATCAAAATTATTGTATATTTCTATTGGCATAAGAATGACCGGTATAAATTAAATTTAAGACCGCTATATCTGGAAAAATGAAGATTAATTTAAGAACAAATGAAAAAAAAAAAAAAACATGAAAAAGAGGATATACTTGAGTATTTTTGTTTTCATTGTTAAAAGATTATTAATCTGCTTACGTCGGAAATGATCAAATTATGCGAATAACGTTCTCAGAAGTTAATTCAGCTGATGACACATCGAGGACTGCCTCGATGGAAGGACAATTTTACTTTGCGTGCGAACTAAAATGGTATTCATTAGGGTATTATTGAAGAGTACGACCAGGCAACGGCGTAATTTTCGTCAGGTCACTCGGAGTAACTGGTCTTATCGCTGGCATCATCGGGACTGGTCTCCCGATAGGCGTCGCCGGTAGTACCATTGGCATGTAGACTCTGGTTGGGCGGTTTGATGACGGTGGGCAGGTAACCGGTACCGGTGTAAGGCGCGGCCAGGAACCGGTGCCGCGTCGACGGTATCGGGGTGGTGCAGTATGCGGTGCGGCTCGCGTAAGCCGCCGCCGCCGAGACGGACGCGGCGGACGCCACGGCGGCCGCCAGGGGCGAGAACGCCGACTTCGGCAGACTGTCCTCGCAGATCAGCACCTCCATGGCAGACACCACGTCGCCTGCGACACATAGGCAAATTCTCTTTTTCTCTCTTTTTTTTCCCCCCTTTTTCTCTTTCTCTTCCTCTTTCTCTTTCTCCCTTTTTCTCTTTTCGCCAGACACCACGCCCGCGGCGCGCGGCTGACTTTCGACGATTTACAATTTACGTTATCGCCGACTATACATATATATATATATATAACAACGACCGATGAAGCGATAATATCACATGACAAGAGAAATCTGACAAAGGAGATCCTTGCAATTATCCAGACGGAAAATTTGCAATCACACACACTTGTACCCCCGATAACTTTATACCGATAACCTTGTTAAAGATACTAATCCAGCAAATGATAAAGCGAATAATGAATACCATATCACATTGCGAGTGAGAACCATAATAGGTATATTAAATAATTAAAAAATTACACATAAATAATGAAAAATATTATTTTAATCAATGCAGACGCATGTAATTTTCTCATGAGAAAATCGCGAAAATTCCTATCAACTCCTTTCGAGTAACCAAATATATGTTATAGTTATATTATTTTTCAAGTAAACGTAAGTTAAACTGTAAGAATTTTCCACCGATTTAATAACAACAATACTATTGATAACGTTTTCGAAATAAATACTGTCTTGTATATGGTTAAAAAATTTTAAAAATTCGAGAAAAGTTAAGGAATCCTTACCTTTGCAACGATGAAGAAGCGCTTCGACGTCGGCGCGGCGTCTCCCAGGGAATACACGCAGTAGAACGTCCACCGGCGAACGTTGTTGCTGCTGTTGCTGCTGCTGCTGCTGCTGTTGCTGCTGCTGTAGCTGCAGTCCACAAGTCTGCTGGATACTTTGCATTTGCATCTGCATCTGGATTTCCCGCGACTCGGGGATGTGGTGGTGATGCTGGTGCTGATAGAGCGCCGGCGAGCAATACGCTAGCGAGCTCGCCGTCGGCCCGTAGAGAGGTGCATAAGGAGGAAAGTGCACCGTCGTCGCGGCCTGCAATCGAGCGTATTTCGCCTTTGAGAATTAAGTATCGCTCGTATACATGTAGCTGCAGCCTATAATATCGTTGTCGCGCCTACGAATAAACTTCTTTCTCCCTTTCTTTCGATACATTACGATACGTCGCGTATTTTTTTTCTCAAGGAAATCTTAGTCTTAACTTTACAGCGAATCTTATACATTGCAATATTTCTGTGATGATTCTATACGTAATATACATATGCATTTAAAATCTTTAGCTTTTACCTCTAAACAGAATATTAAATACTTTCAACTTCGCAAGTACAGTTAAAGCTATAAAAAAAAGTAAAACTTTTTGAGATTTTTCCAAATATTCATATTATAAAGATAATTTTTTGTTGTTAATTAAAACTAAAATTATTACGGATTGAAGAAACATTTCTAATCTGATATACTATATATGTATATGTATATATGTATATATATGTGTGTGTGTGCGCGCGCGCGCGCATTATGAAGATTATGAAGATATATGTACTTGAGCGTCAAACCGTTATATGATTCTCTCAATTACAACGCTACCCTTAATCGTTTATCGTTCTTATATTATTCTTATATAAAGGAGGCACGGCAATGTCTCGCGCCATGTTTTAACGCCGAGACACTGTCGTGACTCCAGATTTCATTAATAAATCTAATTGTAAGATGTAAAGCGGGAAAACTCACAGCTAACGGGGGTAGTGGAGGACTAGGCCTAGGTTGAACCAAATCTACCGGTTGCAAAGTCTGTTGCGTCTGCGGGGGACTGCCACTTTTGCGTAAACTGAGATTTTCTGGCGCCGGAGTGTCCTCCCTTTGCGGTGTCAAGGCGGGAGTCAGTGGCGGAGTGTGCGTCGGACTCTGCGAGCCCGGTTCTGGACTACCCTCTTCCGAATCATTCAGGCTATTAGTGCGTTTTCTCGCCGTCGTTTCAGACTCCGCTAATCCCGACGACGTCGACACCACTGTAACATTTGCCACTTCATCGGGGAACTTTGCATGAAAAATTCAATAGTTCGAGATCGATTCGAGCACTCGGGATATCGAGTTAATCTCTCAGCTCTTAGTAAATGTTGGAATCAAAGTATATAAAGCAATTAGGCGTTTATCAATACATTATTATAATTTTTGCTAAATATCACAAGCCTGATACACTTGCGTGATGGACAGTTTAAGATATTGTTGCAATTGCTATCGTGTTATATGTATAATGTGTAAATCCGAGATTAAAAATTCTTGAATAATTTTATATTTGTACCTTTGTGTTTCGAAAAGTTTTACAGTAAGGAAACAAGATATAAAATATACAATTATACACACACACACACACATATATATATATATATGTGTGTGTGTGTGTGTGTGTGTGTGTGTGTGTGTGTATGCATATAAATAAATAAACGTTTTACCTAACGAACGATCGGTTCGTAATTCGCCACCGGAATCAGAATCACGATCGTCTTCATTGCCTGTATCGCTGGTCGATAAGATCGTTGTGTTTTCGGAGATTCTAGGTCGCTTCAAGCCTGAAATAGACGGGAATCTCTACTTGAAATGCTTTAGTAAAGCAAACAAAAAAACTTAAAACCTAAAAGCATATTCCATATCATGATTCTACTTGATATTTGCACAATCAAGAATTGTGATCTAATTGAGGAAAATAACACGTATATATATATATATTGTACAATACGTATATAATACATTGGCGTGCAGGAGCCAAAGGCATATCTTTGGCAGTACAACAAATAAAACAGGGTACAGAGTTCTCGAGGGTGCCGTTACAGCATGCGCGTAAGCACGTGCACGACTATTAAGGCGTCGGCAATGCGTGAAAGAATCCCGTTGGATGATTGGTCGCGCTTAGGAGGTGAAAGTCTCTCTCTGACCGCTCGTTAAAAAGTTTAACCGTTCCGTTTTATTAGTAAGGGAGAGATTGATAGGCCGGGGGAAATGTAGCCAGAGCGGTTACGCGGTTTCCGCTTTCACCCCCTTATCCCCTATAACCCACCCTCTTGTACTCATATATACAAGCGCCCATTTGCGTGCCTGTTTAAGCACGGGACTCTTTATCGTGCTTATTACTGCTTTCTTAACCGCCGTTTCTCCATTTGGTAGATTATTTTTTCTCCGGATTTTCTCGATTATATATGGATCGGTGAACACGCGATTTGTCGATTGGTAGCAATTATTTAATTCTTTTGTGATATATTCTTGTTTCAAATTTGCTTCCTATTTGCAAACTTTCTCATTTGCAAGAAAATACTCATCTGAAGACAATTGTGATAAATAGAAGTAGCATTTTATCTTTATTCCGCTAAATAAATTCCTTTGTAATTACTTATAACTCGTACACATCTTTTTCTAAAGGTTGTGATTAATAGTTGCAATTTGCATTATATGATCATCGCTAATTAATATCGCATTATTCAATCGATTTGTCTCGGCGACAATAACGTGCGCGCGCGCGTGTGTGTGTGATATAATACATGTATATACTATATATATATATATATATATATATATATATATATATA